TCCTCATTTAAACCCCGTGGAGGAATTATTTAATTTTCTTTGAAAAAAACGGGCAATATTTTGGGTAAATTAGTAATATAGAAAAGCCACACACTTAAAAATATAACTACTACTAAATGAGTGTTTAATTACTAATTTTTTTCTCAACCACTTTACATTTGATGGGAAATTTATAACTAGACTTTTTTAGAACTTCATAAGCAATGGATTTGGTCAAGCCTTGAATTTCATAAATAATTGTTCCTGTCTTTACTACGGCTACTCAACTTTCTACGGAACCTTTGCCCGAGCCCATTCTCACTTCGAGAGGTTTTTTGGTTTTTCCGAGATGGGGGTATATTCTAATCCACATTTTACCAGTTTTTTTGACAAACGGGCTAATAACTTTCCGTCCCGCTTCAATCACTTTATTACTAATATAGGCTCCCTCCTGAGTTTGTAAGCCAAAATCGCCAAAACTAACTGTTTGATTACCTTTGGCATGACCCTCATATTTTAGAGAATGATTATAACGATATCTGGTTTTTTTTGGTACTAGCATAAATTAGCAATATAACATTAATTTTATAACTTTTTTCCTAAATGAAATTTTAATTACTTGGGCTTTTTATATCTCACAGTCATAACTTTCTAGCTGAGTTGAAATTATTAATTAGTAAAAGCAAGACGAGAAATCACTTAGCAAACGCTTATAATGATAAAAAAAGATTTATGGAAAAGATAAATATTTATAATAAATTACAAAAAATACAAGCCGAAATAAAAGAATTAGTGCGAACGGAAGAAAACAAATTTCAAAAATACTACTTTTTTAATGAATTACAAGTTTTGCACTTATTAAAACCTAGTTTAGAAAAATATCAATTAGTTATTTTATTAAGCGATGATACTAACCAACCTTTTATTCACGAAAAAGATGGTAAAGAACATTTTATTAAATATCTCAAAAGATTAGAAATAGTTGACACTGAAACACCCGAAAGCAGGTTATTATTTAATTTCTGAGCTTGTGGCAGTAAT